ATAAAAGATCAACGTAATCTATAATTAGGTTTGTCATACATATACGTGAAAATGAAATATGAAGCTGCACACCTTCAAGTAGGAGAAGCGATGTTAGGATCCCTATGAATCCATAACACAGTTCACTCACGATATATGAGTAATGCGTTGTTTATTGAGGTAGCTCCATTGAGACATCTATCAGAAGCGAAACGCCACCGTCAAGAAATATTTAGTGGTCGAGACAATAAAATACCTACCAAAATATGCAAAATCACTCTCCAACCGAAGTTTTCTCCATCATACTCCCATGCATAATCTATGACACAAGTGACGCTGGCAAGCTGAGCCTCAAATGCATAACTACACTAAGGGTGGAATCCCCTTCAACTTTACAATTTTGGTATGCATAGTACATGGCTTGTTCTAATGCCTTCCTATTTCGGGACTTTTTATTCTTATTCATTATAATTTATTTAATATTTAGCCTCTCGACAATCAAAAGTAGAAATTGGTCAATTTGTAAAATATTGGCAGTAATATACTAAAAATGCTTTATTATTTACCATTTACTTTTATTTGTTTAATACGAAAATACCCCCATTAAATTATTTTATGGGAGAAGTTGAAGAAGCGCTTTTATAAGCTTCTAGTCATAAGTCCTACATTTAAAATTCATAATATATGTGTGTGAGTGCGTGCGTGCGTGCGTATGTGTGTGTGCATGCGTGTGTGAGGGGTACACGTGGACATATTCGTTATTTATTTGACAATCCTTTCATATTTTCCGTGTTTGTGTGTTTTTTCAAATATGAGAGTCATATGTTCATTTCCATGTAATATATAAAACTATTAATGACCCTTGTGGCTTCGACAATCGAATAAATCAAACTCAGTCCTTATAACTCCGATCTCCATACCACGGTTCAATCATTATTTATAACTGGGAATTGTACACTTTTATATCGGCATCTTGAATTTTTTATTTTTATTTTTTTAAAAGTCCTCATTTGAAAATAATAATGGTATATCCAGGTTTGATAGTTTAGTGATTAACGAAATGATTTTTAAAGTTCAGTGATCCGATTGAAACATTTGCTCAAGTTCAATGACCATTTGGATTATTGTCCCATTTTTCTTACTTCTTGAAAACCATCATAAAAGAATATGTTATGCTAATCTGATTTCATAACAAATCGAAAGGATTCAGTTCGACGTGTATTCATAATTTTCACCGCGGTCGAGTAAAATGTTTGGGATTTACGAACATTTGTCCATTCAACCCCCAAAAAATGGCCTTCACTTTTTCAACCTTTCCCGCCAAGACCTTAACGACAAAAACTGTCATCACTCACTTCCCACAAAACCCAAAAACCTTAAAATTCTTGAACAATGCAAGATCACTAGAGAACTCAATCAAGAACATGCCCATCTCATCAAAATGCGGTTCACCCACCATCCGACCGTGGTCGAGCCAATCCTTCAGTCGGCCACTCTCCACTCTCCAGTCTCCTCATCCCCCATGCCACCATTGAATACGCCATTTCCATTCTCCGTGCACCCGAAAAGCCCGACCTCTCAGTCTATAATGTAATGAGCAGGGGGGTATGCCAAGAAGGAATTGCTTGAAAAGGCAATGCTTTTGTTCACGCGAATGATCGAACAGATGGTGGGCCCTGAGGAGTTTACTTTTCCTTCTATTTTGAAAGCCTGTTCAAGGCTTAGAGCTGCAAGGGGAGGTGAACAAATCCATCCCCATGTTGTGATATTGCTGAATGGATTTGGTTCTAAAGAGCTTGTTGAGAATGCTTTGGTTTATATGTATGCTAGTTGGAGTTAATTGTTCCAATGATCACTGAACTTATGTCTATATTTTCGATTGCTCACTGAAATTTAAAATATCGAGTTTTCGCTATTGAAATTTGGAAAACGTTGTACGGTACTCATTAACATAACTTCCGTCTCAAACCTCTGACAGGATTGGAGACGTAGCCGACGGAATACACATGTGGCGTCTAGTCACATCGTTAAACTTCAAGATGGTCAAATTTTAGTCACTAAACTTTGAAAAAAAATTCTATTGCTCACTGAACTATGAGATAATCGAATTTTGGCCACTGAACTTTGAGATAATTGAACTTTGGTCACTAAATTTTGAAAAAAAATGTCTTCTATTACTCACTATAAATTTGGATTTAATTAAGGCTCTATTTATCTCTCTTTAAAACAAAACTTTTTAATTCTCATACTCATTTTTAATGATATTTATAAAATAAAATATATTACATGTAAGCTCAAAACTTTTTTCAACTTTTTAATCACACATTCTCCAAAAAATAAGTATTTGAAACTCTTTTAAAAAAAATAATAGTCATCAAACAAGCGCTAAAATTCGGATTTAATTTAATTTTAACAATTAATATATTGTGCGTTTCATCGTAATTAGTAGTCACTTGTGCAAGCATTGCCTATACTACAAGGAATGATTACTCAATTAGACAGTAGTTAAATTTAATTTTATACTATTTTCATCATAATATTTGAATTTTACAACGAAACACGCAATGAATTTGTTGTTAAATAAAATTAAATACAAATTTTAATTAAATCCAAATTTATTGTGAGCCATAAGAGACGCTTTTCAAAATTTTGTGGCAAAAACTCGACAATCTCAAAGTTTAGTGGCCAAAATTTAAATATCTCAAATTTTAGTTGCCAAAACTCGACCACCTCAAATATCAGCGAGTATTAGAAGATATTTTTCAGAGTTTAGTTAATAATTGGAGACATTTTTCAAAATTTGTTGGCCAAAACCCGACATCTTAGATTTCAGTGAGCAATCAAAGACATAGATATAAGTTCGATGACTATTGGAACAATTAACTCTGCTAGTTGTGGTCGAGTTAATTTGATCCGCCAACTATTTGATAAAATGTCTAAAAAAAACTTCTTTCGGGATACATGAGGTGTGGTTATTAGCAAGCAGTCATTGAGTTGTTTCGAAAAATGTTGGAAATGGATGTTAGTTTTAACAATAATGCTATGTAGCCTCAGTGGGGTTGCATCCCCAGTCTAGATGGCATTAAATGATTTGTTAAATGATAGGTGAAATTAAATGACTTATTTAATTTCACATATCATTTAATGCTACATTAACGCCACCTAGACTGGAGATGCAACCCCAGTGGGGATGAATAGCATTGCTCTAGTTTTAATGAAGTGACATTGATTAGTGTTTTGACAGCTTGCGCGAGAGTCAGGGACTTGGAGTTGGGAGAACCAATTTACGACTTACGAGCATGTAGAATCGAACGGACTAACAAAGAATGCTAACTTGGTTACTTCTCTCGTTGATATTTATGCAAAGTGTGGCCATAAGGATATTGCGAGGGGTTTGTTTGATAACTGTGATTAAAGGACGTTGTTGATTGGAGTGCCATGATCTCAATTCTCAGGTTATAGTCGAGCCAATTAGTGCAAGGAGCCACTTGCTCACTTCCATGAGATGCAAAAGGTTAATGTGGAACCAAATGAGGGGACAATGGTTAGTTTGTTTTCTTCTTGTGCCATCCTTGGAGCTCTTGAAACGGAAAATGGTTCATTCTTATATAAGAACAGTTCGAAACTTAAGGTTACCCTTGAAACGGGCATTAGTGGATTCTTATGCAAAATGTGGTGCCTGGATAATTCATTGATGCGTTCAGAGTCCTGCATCCGAGAAATGTGTGGTCATGGACCGCACTAATTCAAGGTCTAGCTAATGGTGGTCGAGGGGAAAGAGTTCTTGAGTTCTATAATCTGATCTGAGAGAGAATTTTGTTCCAAACAATGAAACTATCATGGCGGTTCTAAGTGCTTGTAGTCATGCAGGCATAGTCCATGAGGGTATGGACTTATTTGCAAGTATGAGCCAAGATTTTGGCATTCAACCAAGAATCGAACATTATGGTTGTATAGTCGATATGCTTAGATGAGCAGGATTCATTGACAAAGCGTATCAGTTCATAAAGAACATGCCTATTAAATCCAGTGCTCTAATATGGAGAACTTTGCTGGCATCATGTAGAGTTCATAAGTATGTTGATATTGGGGGAGGAATCTCTGACGAATGCAGTCAGATTGGAGCCTGCACAATGGGAATTACATACTACTTTCTAATCTATATGCATCAGTAGGCAGATCAGAAGACACTAAAAGTCTGAGAAACGAGATGACAGTAATTAAAAATAATCAGAGGTGTAACTACATAGAATTGGACGGTATCGCTCACAAGCTCTTGGCTGAAGATAAAGAGCACGAGGAGTTGGATGAGATTTACAGAGCACCAGAAGACATGGTCGAGTGTATTAAGCTGGCTGGTTATGTGCCCAACAATGCAGTAGCAAGACTAGATACTAGATACTCAGGGATGTGATATAGAAGTTTCTCAACATAGTGAGCAACTTGCCATTGCTTTTGGCCTAATTAGGACTTCCCAGCGGATGCCATAAGGATATATAGAAATCTGAGAATATGCAGACTGCACAATGCAGCAAAAGTTAATATCAAAAGTTTACGATAGAGAATTTGTCATCAGGGACAGGAACCGCTGTCACCACTTCACAGATGGGTCATGTTCCTGAATGATTTCTGGTGAACCACTATTCGTTTGCCAAAAGACCTACATCTTGAGTTCGTTAATAAGTTAAAGTCCTTGTATCACATTATCATCTCTTCGGGACTGGAACCTATAGGTCTATTGAGTGATTTCATATTCAGATTAACAAACTTCAAGCACACAGTCAAAGCCAAAGAACACCATGTAGCCATAACCAGGTATAAATAACATCAGACATATAAACAATCAGTAGATGAGTTCACTGCACATGGCTCTGACAGGAGACTGGGAGATTCACATGTACTGGAAAAACATCCCAGCAAAATATGATCTACAGCCACCATAACGAGCTCCTAACATCCGTACATTTATTTATAGCTTTTATATACTAATAGACAGGACGATACTGGACCTTTCATTTAGACTACTGCGGCTCTTCAGCAATAAGATCCATGACCACGAGCAAAATACTTCCACCATTCTTCTTCAGCAGTTTCTTGTTCAGTTCTGTATCGTGAAAACCCTGCATCAGCGACCCATAGAAACCAAAAATGGTAAGAATTCACACGTGGAATTGGAAAAAGTGTATGAGGAAAATGGGTGAAATGAAAAGAAATAGAAAACTCACCATCTCCCGAAGTTCCTTGAGAATAGGACTCCATTCAGAAACTCCATAAAGATCATCCACAGTTTCCTGCAAATCATACTCATTCTTCCTCAAAATCTCCTTGTTCAAATCAACCTGTTTGAAGCCCATTGCCTCAAGTTCCCCAAGTAGTTTCTCCTCTTTATTCTTTTCTGATAATGGTTGGGGTGCATTTGCGGGTGGAGGAAGTACCACAGGAATAGGTGGAGCTTGAAAAGGGAAAGGTGGTGCTACCTCTGAGAGATCAATAATAGGATAAGGTAAAAATGAGGATGGTGCTGAAGGGACAGAGTTCGACGCCACACCACTGCCAACCAACAAGCTATCATTGATGGGGAATCTCTTTTCATGCTCATTGCCTGGCTGCACATAAACCATTGGTCCCCCTACTTCCATGGTGTCATTGGAGTTAACGGGCTCAGGGTGACTGTCCTCCACCATGGGTTCTAGATCCACGTTTATAATTTCTGGTCCGGTTAAGCAGTTACTTGGAGGCGGCAAATTAAGATCCAAGTCACGAACATTTTCATGTGGCGGTTCCTTCATGGAAGCATCAACCTACAGAACACAAAGGGATTGCCAAAAAGTACTCTGTTAGAAAGTAAGACATTAACAAAGCATGTTTAGGAAATGATTAAATTTAAGTTATTATAAGTTGTGGGTTCTAAGGAATGTGTGGATGTTAAGTGGATAGTAGTTGTGGGTCCTACGAAATGTGTGGATAAAAAGTATGTTTGATCAACTTGAATTGTAAGCTAATCACACTTCCCAAACATGCACTAAATAGTGTTGTTAACAAACCTCCGCCCTACCTGGATGAGAACCCAAACACGTTGTCCAAACTTTTGGCCAGTAGGGGAGGCCATCCTCCAGTATGAGATATACCGACCAGGAATCTCAGGAGCAATAAAATCAACTGCGACATCTAGCTCCTGCTCTACTGGTAAACCAGCTGCAGGAAGCTGACATTGTATTGGATATGAATAAGAAAAACCAATAAAAATATTTAGTAGATAAACAAAGTGATACCATTCGCTTGCAGACCCAAAAATACAAGAACAATAAGAAAAGTCTAATCAATTATTACAAGTAAAAATTTAGAAACAAAAATGTATAACCCAAGTATCCCTATCGCGTCAATCCAGTAACCTTCCATTAAGAAGAGGAAAACGAAGTGAAAAGGAAAATAAGAAATGATTCATAACAAACAAGTAGAATAGGCCTATACACATGTCAAAAGAGCATAAGACTGATCAGACTAAAAAGGAAAAAAATTAAAAAATTAAAAGGCTATTTTAATATTACAATGACGACAAACCTCAACTTCAATAGCTAGCGCATTATTCAGTTTGTCTCCTCCAATCCACACAAGTTGTGTTCTCATGGGCCACACAACTGTACCAGTGTTTCTCATCCGCCAAATCTTGGTAAATGGAGTTAAAGGAGCCATCACAGTATCATCTATGATATTGATATCCTCTATGAAGCGACTGTCAAACTTGGGTGCAACCGGTTTAACCTTGCAACCCCTGATAGCCTGTGGAAGTGTCGCAGCCCTATCCCTGGCCCTGGCCCTATCCCTGGCATTCTGCAACTGGGAAAATACAATAACAGCAGCACGAGTCAAAAATAGAAAAGAATGGGCATATGCTAAACTAATGCTTATAAAGAAACAAAAAGAAATGGTGATACATACAGGGCAATGCAACCGCTTGATAGGCAAGGGGTGTTGATTAGTCATTGGACGATCCATTCTGATGTAGTCAGTATCATTTCCCATTTCAGAAAAGCAGATGCTGCAAAGATCGTAATCCTCTTTTCTGCAGAAACAAAGCAAATAGGTGAATGTCAGGGGATCCCTTACGACAGCTAAATTGTAAATTCATAAGAGAACTTATTAGTTTGCAATCTTACACTTTTGACTTGAACCTGGGACCAGTTATTGGGTAGACCCCACAACCATCGCAACGAATGGCCCGATGGAAGATACTCCCAGTGCCATCATTCTGACTAATGCTCCTTCTTTGAGAATCAGAATGTGATGGGATAGCAGAGTCATTTCCTGCAGGTACTGCAGAAAATGAAATCTCATTCACAGGACTAGGGTCCATCCAAGCATATCTTATACTGTCATCTGGATAGTTCCATGGTGTATGAGCAGGATAACCAGTGGGAGCACCCATCTTGGCATTCTTTGATTGAAGATAATCCAGCCTAGACTTATGAACCTTCTGTGCAGCAGGTGAGTGATGAGAAGGTATAAAATGAGTCTTGATTGAATCAGCACCAGAGGTTCCTGCAAAGCATTTTTCTTGTGAGAGAGAAGAGACAGGAACATCACTCGGTTTAGGATCCAAGCCTTCTGATTCACATAGAGAATCGACGCAAGGGATGTCAACATCGACATTCACAGCTTTCAAAGATGAGGCTTCCATGATACCTCCTTTTACAGTTCCCAGTTTGACCTCACTTTTTTCTGATGTTGTCTCAGGTATGTATTTTGCCAAGCTTTCGTAGTTTTTCAAAAATCTCTTGTCTGATTCGATGCTTGGGACATTCAATGTCGAGGGAAAAACCTCGGAGGAATTCTGGGGCTTAGTATCTGTGGTACTTTCATGAAACTCACTCTGGGTATTAGACTGCGCTCCAGGTTGGGAATCAGAAAGCTGATCAAGGTAGGACAGACCCATCTCTGACAAGTGGTCAACAAGCTCAGCTATACCTGGCACAGATAAGGACACTTTTGATGCCAACTCATTCAAGAGCTTCTTTACAGTTTCCTGTAGAGGTTCCGGCACAGATTTCAAATTTTTGGAGATATTAGGGTTCAGATTCTGAAAGGGTGTCTGAACTTTAGATAAGGGAGGAAAACTTCTGCTTGAAGGAGCATGTTTCACATTAATCCTCAGGGGGTTCAGGCCCTGCCTCACCACATCACTCAGATCATCATCATCAACAAGTGCTACCTCATCACCATCTTCATCAATATAAGTCAGCCTGAGCAAGGTATCTGCAGGAAAGTTGAAGAGGAAAAATATTTGTTTTCTTAGTCCGTCCATATTGAAATTCAGTCCCTCGTCAATAATTTTGGCAATGAAGCGCCTGAGCGTATCCCCATACCTGACCTGTAGAAATGTCACCATAGTAGCAAAATGAATAAACAAGGCAATTCAGATGAAACAAAACTAGGTACAACCAAAAGTTGTCAAGTGACTAATAAGAGTTGAGAAACTCAAAACTTAAGTGAACTGATGGGCAAATATCTATACAAAAGATAGCTTTCAAACTATGAAAACAAAAATAGTCTGATTCATTATAGCTCAGACAACATGAAAACGAAAAGTAACAACATCAGCATTGAAAAAGCTTTAAAAGGGGTGTCTGTCTGCAAGTATTTCGTGCAACTCTTCACGAATTTTGACAAGATTTGAGCCTGTAAATTCAGAAATTCATCTCAGGCAGATTTATTGAAAAATGGAAAACTAAGCAAGCCTAGAACAAAAATTTGTTACAAACTTACTTGGGCCTAAGAGAAGATCAAATCTTGAAAGATAACAACCAACTTAACATGAAATTGAGTTAGTTAACTGCGAATTTCACTACTAAACATGCCATAAAATAAAAGAGAGAGAGAGAGAGAGATCTAAACCCCAACTGGAATAACGTGAAAATCCATCAAACAATTAAAATGCCAAAATATCAACAATTTCACAGTACAAATCCAACATAAAATCGATCAGACCAATCCATTAAGAGAGAGAGAGAGAGAGACTCACCTTGATAACCACAGTAGAAGCCTCCATAGTCTGCAACAACAGCCCAGATTCCCAAATCGCGTTACAGACAAACCCACAAGAATTCTTTAATCGTTTTATTTAAAACACAGACGTGAGAGAAACACCTCAGCCCTATCATTAAATGGAAATCAAAGTTGAAAAAGCCAAGTAATCAAGAAATATTCCGGCGATTTAGTTAGATTAAATCCATAATCGAGCTCCAATTTTTCTCTGTGTAACGACTGTGAGAATTGGGAGTTGAATGGATGCAGAGTTCTGGTGCTGTACATAATTGTAGAGCTTGAGCGGAGGATGAACACCTTCCCATTAAATTTTTCTACAATAATTCAATTTTCATTTTCAACCACACATTTTCAATAAAATAATATTTTTCATCACATTAATAATTTTTCTTCTTTTTTAACCACACATTTTCCATCATATCACTATTCAAAATCAATTCTTCCCCCAAACATCTCTCCCAAGCAAACTCTTATTTAATCTTTAACTCCTATATTTATTATTTTATTTTATTTTATTCTTTTTCTTTTTCTTCTTCTTCCAAAAGAAAGCTACATGGGTTACGAAGATTAGAGCATCCTCAAAAAACTTTTTAAATATGAGATACTCTCTATTTTAAAGAGTCAACATTTAAAATCATACACCAACAGACTCTTTAAATTAATATTTTAATTTCGAGAATGGGTTTGGCTCTCTGTATAATTAAATGCATTCAAAGTGTTTCAATTTTCAATGTAAGAAAACAATAAAATAATCTAAAAAAAGGGTAATTAAAATAAAAGATAAAAAAAAAATATTTTTTGGGAGTGATAAATTAAGTTTTAATATAAAGAGTTTGTTGAAATATTTCAAAATTTTAACTCTCTAAATTTATATATGCTCTCCAAATGATAGAATATACTTTTTAAAAATAGAGAGTTTNTCATATTTGAAACATTTTGTGCAAAATACCTACCGTCAGATTTTCCATTAATAACAGTAAAAATGTCAAAATGAAAATGTAATAATTTCATTTTTAGTATCAAACTTTTTATTCTTTTACAAATTATACCCAATTTTTTTTATGTACCACCCACGATCTCAAACATTTGAAACTTTATTTGGAATGAAAAGAAGAAATGAAACTTTAGGCCACTAGATCCCACCACCAACACCTTGTCTCACTCTCCTTTACAACCTCGTCTCACCACTTTCTGGCCACCCCACTAGATCCCACCACCAACAGCCTCATCCCACTATCCTCTACAGTCTCCAACCAACCGTCAACCATGAAACAACAAGAATAAGTAGAAATCACAGCCCAAAAACCCAATGTCTCGCATCCCTCTTCTTCTAGAAAACCCATATCCAGTAATGACTTCGGTCAAGCACCACCATCTGTTGATAGCCCACATCTAAACGATCAAGATTATGATCTAACATCAACCAATAATGCACTATTTCCTTCTAATGATGATCCAACAGATCCGGCAGTCGCGAACTCAAATTTGCTTGCTTCAATTCATGTTTCACGCAACATTGTATCAACAAATTGGCATCAGTCGAATCTTAATCAGGTCCCCTCAACCATGGATAACATTTCAATTTCATCAATTGCTCCAGAAATCATCCCAATTTCAGATTCAAAGTTTACCCCCTACCCCATCTTGCGCAAACGACGGCTCCCCCATTTCAATTGACGAATCTACTGTGCTCCAATCCACCAATTTGACCATGGATAGTTCAATTCAGTCACATACAACACTGGGTCATGATCCAATTGCTTCAATTGATCCATTGAGAGAGAAGTAGAAATGGGGGAATTTTGTAGATTTTTTGTTTCGTTTGGGTTGGATGTGGTAGGGGTGAGCGTGGCTCGTGGAGTGGAAAATAAGTTTTCAAGGTTTGAGAATATGGGTGATACAAATAAAAGATTTTAGTGTAATTTGTAAGAAAAAAAAGGTTTAGGATCACAACTGTAATTATTCATTTTTATTTTTTGCAATTTTTACTATTTTTAACAGTAAAATTAACGAAATTGGACGGTATTGAGTATTTTGCACAAAATGTTTCAAATATGGGGTTTTCTGCCAATAGATATGGAGGTATATCACAATTAAAAACGTTTTGAGGGGGATTTTCTGTTATTAATCTGGGGTTATGAAAACCAAAAAGTCATAGTGTTTCTCATAATTGAAAGAAAATAAAATAAAGTTTTTCTAGAAGGCCTTTATATTGTGATAACTACACTTACCATCCTTATAATTTCTAATTAGTACATTGATTTGTTAAACTACCCGATTAACTAGCGATTAAGAATTTACGAAGAAACCACGATTACATCTGTTTTTTTCATTTTAGAAAATTCTTAGTCTTGGTTTGGGCTTTTTCCAAAAGAATCAAAACTTTTTAGATTTATTACGTATGACATAATTAGTAATGGACAAAATTTTTTATCAACCTTGATAACATACTCACTCCAAAATAATTTATACATCGACTAGTCCAACAACTTTTGAATCTCGATCACATGGGCAAAAATAGCTATGCTTTCTCTAGTTCTCACTTTGATGGTAGATTAAACCTCTTAAGAAATTGAAATGAGTAGAAAACTAATCAGCAAAAATCAGCAAGTGCACATCAGCAGAAAACGAAATCAGAAAGCAACCAGCAGCAGAAACTAAAACATAGATACAGAGAAATTAAACTAGAATTAAACTGCAGGAACAAAAATATAAAAGATAGATTTCAACATGTAAAATCATGTTGAAGGAACTGATGATAGAAAGGAGATTTTATTAATTCATCAAGCTCAAAAGTAAAGTGAAATACATTGATCTATTTATAGACTAAATCTAACAAACTAACAAACTAATGAGGGATCTAGAATAATATTCATGTGCTGGACGTGTGCTCTCATAAGCTGGTGACTGGTGAGCATGTGAACATGTGATCTGCTGAGATTAGAAGAATCTGGAAGGAGCTGTAAGCATGCTGCTGATGAGCTGGTGAAGGAGCTGGAACGTGTTCTGTGTTCTGGTGAACATGCTGGGAATGTGAATATAATGCATATATTCCAACAAAACCTACCACCCATGTCTTTGGTTATTCACAACCATCGGATCTTTAATAGCTTAAACAACTTAGTATTTTAATAACGGGTTGACAAACGATTCTCCATTTCGCCTTTTATTGAAAATATATACCTATTACGACACTTTATTGTTTGATGATGAATTATCCCATTCGATATGATCAAAGAGGCTATGGCCAACCATAAAACTATGATTATAATATGTAAAGAGAGAATAATTTTAAGATAATTATAACTTCTACGCATAAATAAGAGTAATATAAATATCATTATGTGCAAAGTGTATATAATCATAGAACAAAATGAGTTGTTTCAATGGAAGATGGATGGAATAAATTTTGATTTTGATGAATTTATTACTGGTAATTTATTACCTATCATTGTTTTGGCATTTTCACCCTTATTTTTACATTTCATTGTGCAAAAAGATCATTTTCATCAATTTTGTCAATTAAAAGTTGTGAAATGACGAATATACATTTATACTTAAATAAAACAAAAAGAAATCTCTACCTTTCATTTTTTTGACATTTTTACTATTAATTAAACATCTAATTGCACAAACCATTATTTATATTCACTTTCATCCAATTTCTCAATAAAACATGTGAAATAACGAATATAACCTCATATTGAAATAAAAAATAAAAAATATATTTTTTTGATTTCTAATTTTTTTAATAATTTATTTGGAATTCATTTGTACTTTTTTTATTTTTTTATTTCTAATTTGTTAATAATTTATTTGAAACTCATTTGAACTTTTTAAAAATAATTTGAACTGCAATTAGTTCTTTATTTTTTTTTATTTAAATAGAATGATATATTCGTCATTTTCACAACATTTAATTGAGAAAATGGATGAAAATGACCTTTTGTAAAATGAAAGATGTAAATAAGGGTGAAAATACAAAAAAATAAAAGGTAAGGACTTTTTCACAATAATAGTGAAAAATAAGGATGTTATGTGCTAATTACCCATTTTATTACTATATGAATTTGTAGTTTTAGTTATCTTATAATTATTGTTCTTTACTTCTTAAGTCAAATATTAAGTGCTAATATAAAGGATATTTTAGGTACATATCTTAATTACTATCAAAACTTTGGTTAAATATACCATTTTTTAATTGCATGAAACGTCTATCACCTTTAACCATTATAATGCCCTAATTTTTTTTCAATCGCATTCTTATACTCCACCATATATTAGTTAAGCATATTTTGTCTTTGATGTCGGTTTCAAGTCCAAAAATTTTACTAAGAGGAAGAAAAAGACTAACTTGCCCCTCGTATTTTTAAATAACCAAAAAGAATACCATATATAAAATTGCGAGTCAATATTTGTCCCGAACGTTAATAGAAATTTAGATTCATTAAGGACGAAATTCGCTAATTAATTTAATGTTAAAGATAAGAATGCTGTGAAAAAAGTTGAGACCTTAAACTTGACAATTAACAAAAGTTAATATTCTTTAATAAAATTAAAATGTGATTCAAAATGAAATTTGATCATTAATAAGAAAATTTATAAATTTAACCAAACGGTGACTTAGCCATTTGAAAAAAAAAAAAAATCCGTAGCCCCTTCCACTAGATGACTTTTAGGTTTTTCTTTGTGAATAAATATGTAAAAATCAATGTTTTAAAAAACAGAACTTGATCGGACCGGTCGGTTCGATCGAAAATATCGAGAACCGAATTGAAATCAAATTCGATCACATCATAAAAATCAGAAAGAAACGGTATAAAATCTTGTAACCCACCTGTTTAATCGTAAATCGGTGAACCAGTTACAATTTTCACGTTTCAATGTGTCAATTTTAATTAAAGAAAAATTAAGAGTAGGTTGATGAACACAAAAGATCTTTGTCCCTACCATTTATCCGGTTGTTCAAAACTTACTGTATCCCTATTGATCTCAAATCATATAACAATTATAGAAAACACATAAATCATTTTATGTTCATAGGTGGGATATATATTTTTTATGTGAGAGAGAGAGAGAGAGAGAGAGAGAGAGCAAAAATCAGAAGACGATAACCGCCGTTGAACAAATAGCTATATTGGAACTGAAACAATGAGCAGATTTTTGAATGATAAGGTTTGCATATTTGCATACATCGGCCATGGATCTATAACTTGTAACAATTTTGGGCCTTGTATCCCATTTAGTCTCCACGTGCTCATTTTTTTGAATTTTTTAGAAAAAAAAATAGGAAAAATTGACAAAAACCCTACCTTTTAACTTTTCATTTCAATAATAAGACGATAAAATTATTCTTTCGAAAATTAGGTGTACCCTACCCTCGTTCCACCCACATACAACACAACAATAAACCAAAAATCAACAAAACCCGTTGTCCCCAGACCCAAACCCATACCCTTCATCTCCTTCAGAAACCCTAATCCACATCCCGTTGTCGACACCATCCTTTTGTCGGTCGCCCACAACCAACTGTCAACCACACTACACACAATCTACACGATCTCTAGTCATGAATTACCACTACAATCACCTCCACCAAACCCTTCAACATCAACTGCATCTCACCCAATTTTACCCAATTACCACCATTTAACCATTGCATCGTCGTCGGTAGCTCCAAGTTGCCAACATACCACACAGCTACTACCCTTCATTCTCACACCACCACACCCCAAAGTTGTATGCTACCACCACACTCCTTCAATCCACAGACGGTTCCACACCCACCAATTCCATTACACAAACCCGATTCCATGACACAACCTACCAATCTAACCCCAATTCATTTTCCCAAACCCAAAGGTTCAATTCTTCGGCTACTGCTTCATTCCATTTCTTCTACTGCTTCATTCCACAAGTAGGCGATGGCTCTTCACGATAGTGAGTGCAGTGGTGTTTGAGTTATAATGTGGTTGTACAGTTGTGGTGCTTTTTTTACGTCGCATCTACTTCTCTTTGTTGTCGTGAGATTTAATAGGCTAGCATAATAAAGTAAGAGATATGTTTAAATGAAATATATTTTCTGATTGCGTACCCGCTTGCTGACTTGCTTCCCTTGCGATGGTGGTGGTGGTGCAGTAGATGTATGGTAATGGGTTATGGATCTGTGCAGGTAGTGGGGATGTGGTAGTGGTGGTGTGTTGTAGGTGGTGGTGGGTTGTGGATCTAAACGACAACGACGATTTGAGTGGTGTCGACGATGGGCAAGTTGGCAATGCCGTTTGGGTGGTGCCGTAGTGGTGGAGTGGTGATGGAAAAGAGTAGCGATGTTGGTGGTGACAACAGTGTTTGGGTGTTGGTGGTTGTTGGTGCAGGTGGTAACAATACTTGAGTGGTGGTGGTGGTGGTGGTGGAGGAGGACTAGTGGGGTTGGATGAAAAGAATTTTTGATCTACTGATGGCAAAAAACTCCGCCCCATTCTGTCCCGGCGCCGCCCCGCCCCGATAGGTTGGTAGGGCGGGGCGAGGAGGGGGTACCCTGCCTCGAAGCGCCCCGAACCCGCCCCGTGAAGAATAAAAAAAAATAATTAATTACAAATTAAAAACATAAAATAGTTAATTGGAAGTTTTTGAAAAAAATAAATAAATAAACGGGGCAAGTTCGCACCCCAAACCCGCCCCGCCCCGTCTAAAGTGGGGTAGGGCACGGGGCGGGGGGCCATCTTTATTTTGATCAATTGTTTAAATAATAAAATGCGTAATTTGTGACCAATAATTAATATGCGACTCAAAATTGTGCAATTTGCAATTATTAATTGTGATCCACAAATGTGTGTGATTTGTGACTGTTGGTCACAAACTTTTATCAGAAGTCACAAAATGTGAAATCTTTACAAGTTTTTTTAATTTTAAAAATGTAACTTGAAACGTTTGTAATTATATAATTATTCCAAAATTAAAACTTTAAGAATTACTTTGTGAATCCCGATTCGACTCCAATTTGACTTTTGGCCTTTTTCCTTTTTCGAGTCAATGTCCAGGTCGATTTTCAAAATATTGGTAAAAATTAAAAGAAATAACTTTAAATACCCTTTACGGAAAAATAAAATATAGTCAAAAATGAATTTCATCAATAAAAAAGATCATGTATGCCGGATTGCCTTTCCACTTGTTGGGATTCTAAGATGTTATCAGTCAATCGATCAGTCAGTATGAAAAATCACTATTTCTTTTCGACTTTCTTATAAGTCTATTTGATATGCAGTTTATAATCGTTTAATAATTATACAATTATTTGTCAAAATAATTGACATATAACTAGATTTGACTTAATTTCACAACCACCAAAAATGTTAAAATGGAAGCTCATCTATTGGTTTAACTTAATTATCGAAAATTCTCTATATTCTTCCGTTACTCCATTGCAAATCCAAGACCTTTTGCATCTCACCCGCAATTTGGGGGTTCAGTGTGAGACTATGAGTTGTTTGTAATATTCTTTTCTGAATATCTTGCTCGTAAAAACATATCTCATGAGTTCATAAGAACTCTCTTCGACCCAATTTCCCAATCAATTAGTATCTAAATTGCTAGTGTGGTTGAGTTCATTGTACATGAGTCATGTTTGGCTCAAATTATCCCTCAGCCAGGATTAATACAAACTTAAATTTCCATAGATATATCCCATCGAAAGGGTATGAATAAAAACAGCATTCTCAGCTGGAATTTGCTAAAGTACAATATGCCACAAGCCAAAATGTACAAATCAAAAACTTGTACAAAATATACGAACGAAAGTACCATCGTCTAATATAACTAAAGAAGAAAAAGAAAAATTAAAATCTTGTTTATTATACTATACAGTATATTAATACCCTACATTGTAGCTGAACAGGTTTACGTACCCAAGAAAGAAGTTTTTAATCAGCCTTTCTCAACCAAGCCATAGCCATGAGGCTCAAAATTGTAGCACAAGCAACAGCACCAAGGCTTCTCTTCTGGAGTACAATTTGTACCAAATACAAGGCAATGTCTGATGTAATCTTCCTCCCCTCCTTAGCAAGAACTCGACGCCTCTTCCCAGCAAACGCCAAAAGCACCAGCACCGTTATCCACGTAACAATGGTGGTTCGTACGGCGAAAACAAGCAATAATGCAAGAAGAAACACAACAACAAAGGGCACAATCGACGCGTAATAGCTCGAACGGTAGCTTTTTCTGTCGACTGACGAGAGTGAGAGTAATACGTAGAACGAAATCAAGAAACACAAGAGGCATGCTGAAGTTCTGGATCTGGACATGTAGTTCATCTATGCTGTGGGTGGTTCATGTAATGAATGAGAGGATTGAGGAAAGAGAAATGTGACTTTTTGGGGTGTTTTGATATGGGAATTATTTGTTGGGAAGGAATTGAAACCCATGTGATGTTGCACATGGCAAGGTTGGCAAGTAGCGGTACCAAACATAGTAGTTTACTAACATTAAGAGCAATAATTTATTGGTGTCTACGTATATTGAGATAGTGTAGATTAAATTAGACTCCACAGATCGAGGCCACGGGTCCTAGTCAAGGTTCAATAGGGAACCAATACCAACCTTTACTGATGTACTTAATTTTTTTTACGGTCAAGGGTGTACGTCTCTTTTAAATACTAATTTATTTGTTAAAGTTTGTTATAATTCCTTATCTACTAGTGTGATTTGGATAAGATTTAGCCCACGTTTGTTATAATTTGTGGGTGGGTGCTGTTTTAGGGTTTCACACTCTTGTGTTTTCTTTCTAAAAGTGTGTTTGATGGATATTATTGAGAAAATAATGTATTTTCAATAGTGACACGATGGAAAATATGCAGTTAAAAAGTACGAAAATGTTACTGATGTGATGAAAAATATTATTTTATTGAAAATTATGTTATTGAAAATGAGTTTTGAAGTAATATATTTTGAAAGAATGTGTGTCAAATATGGGCTAAATCATCTTCATTCTGTTTGTAATCTTGAGTGAAGTTTTGTGATGTACTGAGTATATATTTTGAGATTGGAGTGAAGCTTACTGTGGTAAACTTGATTTAATTTGAGGCAAATTTTTTTGAACATTTATATTGACTGAGTCTTGACTTAATTCTAGTGATTTGGAGAAGATTCTACATTGTAGATGCCCAAATGATGAGTAGGATTTAGAGCATGTAGACATGTGGACCCGTCAGTGAGTGAAAAATTCTTATGTTCGATTTATTTACTATTCTGCAACTTTACTTTTCGTATTGGGGGACCAACAATGGTATCGGAGCCTCAAACGTTTGCCAAGGAAGTTTTCTAGTTTGATTTGATGAAACCCTTGTTTTTCCAAAACTAACTTTTTAAAAATCGTTCGATCTAGAATTTATTGTGGAAACAATTTTGTTTTCTAGAAGAAACCTGTTTGATCTGCCTTCGATTCAACTTTTGGTTGGATCCTTTCAAAATTTGGTGTCTCTGGGTTAGATTTGTAAAAATCTTTAACAGTCCGAGTAATTTTTTGAGGTTTCTAGTACTGTTTTTCTTAAAACCTTGATAACGCGTTCATAATCTTGTGAATCTTCATGTTTTCACACTGATTTATGGTGATTCTTTGGTAACTCGCTATTAAGTTACGGTAATTATTGTAACTCGTTTCTAGTTATTAGTGAGTTGAGTTAATTCACTCCGATACCTGATGATTTCTTTGACTCACTCCTGAGTTGTACTAAGTCATAATGACTCGCTGAGTTCTTGCATACTGTTTGGGAGCCTTGGTCCAATTTTGGTATTCTTTTATCTTCTGCCATGTTCTGAAACCTTAGGCCCTATTCTCTTTGTCGTTTTCAAGCCGTTTTCCGTTTTCAATTT